GTTCTTGGTATTGTGTATACATTATCACGAACCACGCTTAATTCTCTTAAATCAAATATTAAGAATGACTCCCCTAAAAGATGCCCTAAGTGCAATACTTCTATGTTTTGAAAGGGGGTGACATTAAAAGATTAATAAAGATAGGACACAAAAAAGATGGAAAAGATGAAAAGCCCGAAAACAAGAAAATACTTCTGACAGCACCCACCAAACCTTAAATCCCATCCAAAATGTGAAAACACTACGAATACTATTCTTTTTTATTAAAAAATAGCAAGTATACAATCTTACTTGAAAGAAATGATCCCTCGAGAACCGATACAACAGCTTGCCATGGAAAGACCAAATGTTGAAACCATTCTCCATTTCATGAACAGATGTGACAGATGTTGCGACATATCTTACAGTGATTAAAAAGTTGGATAACACACCATTAGAATAGTGAATCAGATAAATAAATGTACGAGTCCAAAATTAAGTTTCTTTAACTTATATATAGCAGTTATTCTAAAAGTTACCTTCCAGTAGGATCCCATTCAATTTCAGTAGCCATGAAATGGTCCGTCACAGCCATGGTTTCCAGTTCATCGGCATCAAAGAACTCCAATTGCCCATTGAGCCCTTTTAAGCCAGCCAATATGATAAAACGACCTGTGGGTGACCAATATAAAGCATTTGCTTGTTTTCCCTTGAGTGTCGCAAGCTTTGAAACTCTTCCAGTGTTATTGCCACTCTTCATAGAATAGAAACTAATGTCTGGCTTAGGGTTGTCCCCATGGATAACTGCAAATTTGTGTCCTTTCGGCTCCCAAGCAAATGCAATAATCTTATCATTCTTGTTCTCAAGCTCCAAAACCTCAATGGGAATATCTCTTTCCTTAATTCTGAACAGCTCAAAGCCTGTATATGTGCTTTTCTTTGTTTTTGTGTACCGATCAACCTTAACAGCAAGGTACTCCCCATTGTTTTGCCAATACATTTTGCAGTCGCTGACACTGAAAAGGTTCTTCTGCCTTACTTCTTCCTTGCTTGGAATTTGTACAAGACTCACCTGCAAGGAACAAAGTACACTTTATTTAGGATCAGTTCGGTAAGAGTTTGGCTCAAACTTCTGAAAAGGGAATCATTTGGTAAACACTTTTTGGCCAAAAGTTAAAGGCTACGTATTATTTGCAAAATAAGACAAACAAAGCTAACAGAACCTTAGCTTGGAATATTAAAACCTAGAAATGCAGAAAAAAAGAAATAAATCAATGCAAATGATAGAAACCACCTACCCTTGCAGGCTGATTTCCTCCACCTAGTTCAGGAACAAAAAGAGCAAGAATGGGGTCCGTTGGAGACCAACTGAAGTCCAGAACATTATCAATTTTTATAGACTTTTTGTCAATAAGGCTGAAAGTCTCTGTTTCATATACGGAGATGACATTTTTTCCTATTCTGGCAAAATACTTGTCCTCGTTGCCGCCGCCCCATCTGGAATATTTTATTTAAATAACAAGTTACAACCCCATGAGTCACATTGATAACATCAACTCACTTAACCCTGTACCTAAATACATTTCATAAGGTGATTTGCAATGAATATATGCAAATTTTTCCCAGGCTCACCTAAAAATTGGCCAACAGACACCAGCAACGCCACCAGTCCCAACTGCAAACTCATCAGCACTCGCTTTAAATTCTCTTCGGACTTTTCCACTTCTCACATCAAAAATGTTCAAAACAACCCTCTGTGAAATGAAAAATATTGGAGAAAATGTGCCATCAACCACAAAAACTAAGCAAAAGTATAATTGCGAACTCATCATCTAGTCATAATCACAAACTTACATGAGAATCACGAGGATTACTTGGCTCATGGCTGCTGTAGGTTACCAAGTAGCTCTCGCCGGGAGAAAAGTCAATGAGCTTCACCTGCATTTAGATCCACCATAGCTGATAATGTAAATTATAGACTTCATTTCATTTTCAAATAATTAAATAAATATTTTTTTTTCTAAATCCACATCAATAAGAAACCTGTGAGTGAGGATAACGCATCAGACGTTCAAAGCTGGCAGCACCTCCCCAGATGGCAGCACCTTGCCTATGAACTGTGGCCAGATAAGTGCCCAGAGGGGACCACTGAACAAAGCTCTCAGTCCAACACTGAGTAGAAGTACACATAATAATGGTTAGTGAGAAAAAAAAGGGAGGCAGAAAGCAAAATCCCAATCCCCAACAAAGAGTTCCTTTATATTTTAAAGTACATTTCACTGTACCCATCCAAAGAGTCAGCAAACGGGCTAGTTGCAGTATCACTGTATCAGAAAACAATTTCACATGCACACCAACACACCTCACGTTTATAAACAAGTTCTGGCTTCATCTGCCTCGCATCATTCCACAGAACTTCTGTATCTGGCCCGGCATGAATTACAAACTGATCTCTGGCTCTTTCATCAGTGAGCCAATTTTGTAAATTCTCCTGAAAATAAAATGCATGTCACTTCAATAATTAAAATAAATGACCAGATGATACCTCTGAATAGAGACTAGAGAGCAGATGAAAATGCTTACCCTTGGGGTATAAGCTTCTGTCTGTGGTGGTGCCCATTCATCTGGAACTTTCATGATTTTTTCGATGTCATTGAACTTCTTAAGTGCAAAAATATGGGACTTATCTAATCTATAACCATGTGTTTTCTCCGTAGCAAGCTCAGCTTCCTAAAGCATCAAACACATGAAGTCAGGATGGGAGACTTTAAGAATCTTGGTAAAGTACAACTCCTTAAAGTCCGGGAATCACACATAAATTTAAGAATTTTATTCTCAGCTTAACTATATGTATCATATTGGGCTTGTTTGAATTTTCATAGAAAAACTAAAAATTAAAAAATACTCCCTCCATCCCCCATAGATCTTCCCATTAGCCCTTTTTATTTGTACATTATAGATCTTCTCATTACCTTTTCTAACAATTAAAATCCCACAACTACCCTCACTTACTTTATTTATTACACCTCACCTACCTCATTTAATACACTCCACCCATTTTCATTAAGGGTATTATGATAAACATTCACCTTTTTTCAACTCTCCTTAAAAACCACAAGAAGTCAAAATGAGAAGATCTAAGGGGACGGAGGGAGTAGCTCTCTTTTATGAGATGGGATTATTTTTAGACAACGATTTTCAAGCATGAATCCTTTTGTGGGACTGTGTAAAAACATTATAGCAATGGCATATTGACATTGAAGCATATACTTTGGATTATAATGTTATCAAAGGATATACAAATTTGTTTCTTTCCGGAACAACTTTTTTCCATCTTCATGCAATGATATTTACACACCTACATGTGTGTGTGTTGGAGATAACTATGCAGTTTATCTTTTCCTAATGTGTATGGCAATTAAATGACTAATTCCATCAAAAGAGTACATAAAAATAGTGCATGCATGAGTTAAACCAATATAAAGATAATACAAACAACAAATTGCTACCTGTGGAGTATTGTATTCAATAAAACAGTAGCCAAGGGTCTTCCGAGTATCAGGATCAACAGGCATCCAAAGGCCATCCTCCTTAATGACCCCAATTTGACTATATATCTTTCGAATGACACCTTCGAGCTTCTCAAACTTTTCTCTAGGAACAACTGGCAAATTGTCAACAGCTATCACATTCCTGAACCCATTGTCAAACTCCAACGCATCCCCCTCTGCTAAATCACCATCATCACTATCGTTCCAAAAAGAAAAACAATCACAACAATAAGATGAAATAAAAACCAATTCAGATCAGTTCACGATTAAAATAGAGGTGGATCTAGATTTACCTTAGGATGCCCATATCCTCACCGGGAGGGAGACGGATTGAATCGAAATTGACACCAGAGATGTCAATGTTGAGCCGCAATGTTGTAGCTTGAACCTCCGACATCGAGATCACTTCAGCCATAATTACACCCTTTCTATTGTTTTTTTCTCGTCCTGTGTAATGAAATCAATCAACATAGCCTCTAGACAAAATAGGAAATTAGATATGATTGGAACTTATAACAACGGCAAAATTTGTTGAGCCTTGTCAAGGCTACAAATTAATACCTTATTTTTTAATGTTCCACTAATAATTACCTGTAGTATAAATAAAGGTTTTTCCTTGGGGACAGTTGATTATTCTTTCAAAAAGTCTGGAAAAAAAACAACACTCAAAACCAAATCAGATACTGATTGTAATAACTTGACTCAATAAACATCAGACGGAGTTGATACTCCCTCTGTCCCAAAAGTTATTGAAACGTCAGAATAGTAACTATGACAATAATTTTGGGACAGAGGGAGCATACAAATAACCACTGCATTAACATCAACTATAGATAGGGTCATAGGGGTGTTCATTCGGTAAAACTTAACCAGAAGTTCAATAACATATTTTTTATACCAAGTACTGAACCGAAATCAAATAGTTCGGTTTGATAAATGGTTTTACCAAAAAAACAAACATAACAAAAAAAAATAGAATACTACTTGTCAATTGCTATTTTTCAAATAGGTTTCCTACATCCTGAACATCGAATTCGCTATAGCCTAAGTGGAATACAAACCACATGTTAAACTAGGTAAAAACTAATCCATCAAACCCGAACAAAAGAAACCATCACAGTCCAATTCAAAAACAGAACCTAGGCGTGGCTTACTGATGTCCGGCGGACGGGCAACGTGCGTGTCTGGAGAAGGCGCGTGGTGAACCGAGTCAATTGAACGCAGGTTGTTGCTGGTCTGCTAGGGTTTGTAAAAACGCATGCGATTGAAATGAGAAATGAGAAAAAATTAGGAGAAATTCGAAAGAATTGAAGAGAGTTCGAAAAAAATTAAAAGTATGGTCTCAAGAACATTAAAATAATTTTCTTTTTTTACTTTTTTAATCTTTACTTACTACGTGTTTTATTAAAGTCAAATAAAAAAACTTTTATGCAATATAGATAGTATTCAATATAATCCGACATAAAAAGATTTAAAAATAAACAATATTCATTTTACACATTTACTTCTTCACATATCAAATTGATGTATGAATATTTATTATTTTGCAAAAGGCTTAGAACATACACCTTATAAAAATTATTAGTGCATGCATATTCAAAAGTTATGTATTGTTTAATGAAAGAAAAATAGAATGTACAATTATTTTAGTCAAAAGTTTAAAACGTTGACTAATACACGTTTAAAAGAAACATAGTTAACGAAAATTTCAAAATTATAAAGAAAATTATAAATTTAAGATTTTACTGTAATATTTTACGCGACTCTAAAATGTTAACTAAAATCTATATCCAGGTCACAACATTTTAATAAATTGTGACATTAAATCATTTTTTATTTTATTTTATTGAGATATTATTATTACTATTACATAAAAATAAACTTAAATCATTTTTAGGTCATTATTGGAAGAAATTAAAAAAACTTAGAAGAAAATGAAAGAAGTTTGAAAAACTGAAAAGAGTTCAAAAAAACTAAAAGAATTGAAAAATAATAAAAATTAAGAGTCAACCCTCAAAAGAATATGATTTTAGCCTCTAGTTACTCCTCATGAGTCCTATATACGGAGTACTTAATATCTACGAATTTAACATAAAGGGCACTTTTTTAAATGAAACTGACTTTAGCTTTTTTTATTTAAAAGATTTTGCATTCAACGTTTAGTTTTTTTAGCATTGTTAAGTACGGAGTATTAGTTGAGTAATTTTTAAAATTGTAATGAAATATTTTGTGTTTTTATTAATTATTTTTAGGTTTCATTTTTATTGTTGATATATTTGATTTTAAAAATGTAAAATTATTTATTGACTGCATAATCATTGAAGGGGTATGAAATGGGCATGAACCTCTACACGCTTCTTTACCTCAATATGAGTCTTTTAGCATGACATCCATGTGGCGAAAAAAGTTCTAACGGAACTTGAACCACTATGCATGGTCTTACTTTATTTTTTTTCTAATAAGTATTTTGGCCCGTGCCACGCATGAAGCTGAATGAAATTTTTGTCGATTCAAAAATATTTTTCATTTTACTATTTTTTGGATTAAAAAATAATATTTCTAACACAATTTTATAATATTATAGCCATCAATGTCAAAGTAGAATAAATAATATTTGAAAAATTGTAAGTGTACAGAACAATCAAGTCTAGTAGTTTGAGAAATAAGCACTTATGACTCATATCTTTTCAAAACTTATACTCGTATATAAAATTCACATGGTTTCAAAAATTGTACATACATTCCCTCTAGTCTGACTCTCCGAGCTTTTCTCTGAACATTTTCTAGTGAAGGGCATTGTTGTCTATTTTCCAAACCACGTGGTAAAATACCTCATTTTCTATTTTCTTTTCATTTTTTTGGTTTTCCCCATTTTTATCTCATTTTTTCTTCTCTTAGTTGTTTTGAAAGTTTTTTTTATTAATTTCTTTTCTAAATTTTTTGAATAATAATTTAAAATTTCAATATTGTTTGTGGTTGAAATAAAGAATAAAAAATAAAGAAAAAAAATGGAGAAAAAAAATTTAGTGCTATCAATTTGGGTGTAGTGTCTAATTTTTTATGTTACTTTTTTAATAATGAAACTGACTTCAACTTTGTTTTATTTAAAAGATTTTGCATTGTTAAGTATTAGTTAAGTAATTTTTAAAATTTTAACGAAAAATTTCGTGTTTTTATTAATTTTTTTTGGTTCCATTTTTATTTTTGAAATATTTGATTTAAAAAATGTAAAATTATTTATTGATTGCATAATCATTGAAAGGGAATAAAATATGCATGAATACTACACACTTTTTACCTCAATATGAGTCTTTTGAACTATGGTCTTACTTTATTTTTTGGCCTAATAGCTCCAGTGCCCCACTGTGGTTTGGAAAATTGGTATCAATACTCTGTTTTCAAAACTTATTTCTAAAGTCCTTGTGGTTTCTAAATGTTGCACCCACACCCCCTTTGATCATTTTCCGGCTGTTTTCTGGCGAAGAGGGCATTGGCGCATAATTTTTAAACCATAGGGGGCACTCGTGCTCAATTCTTATTTTTCGTTTATTATTTATGTTTTTCCTTCTTTTTCCTAGATTTTTTTTAAATTTCTTTTCAATTTGTTATAATGTTTTAAAATTCTTTGTGTTTGAACTAATAAAAAAAATTAACATACATTACATCTATCTCAAATTAAACATTTTCAATTTTTCTTACATAGAATAATTTTTTTGGAAAGTTCAAAAAGAAAACCCAAAATAAAAATATGGAAAAATGAAATGAAAAAATTAAAATACAAAAAAAGAGTCTTCTACAAAAAACAATTTTGGAACACGCCTAAAAATATCCTTAAAATTGAGATGTCCAAAAAGGATAATCATTTTTATTTTTGTATTATTTTGTTTCATATTTTATTCATCTTTTTTTAGAAGTTCTAAAGAAATTACCTTTTTTCGGAAAAAACAAACATTGTTAATTTGAGATGTGCCGATGCATTATATGTTAATTTTTTCAAACAAAAATAACTTTAAATTTTAAGAACATTATAAAAGTAATTGTAAAATAACCTTATTAATAAATGAAACAAATAAAGGAAAAAATGGGAAAAAAAGAGAGAAATAAAAAATTAGCACTGGTACTCCCCATGGTTTAGAAAATATGCACGAATGCACCCCTTCTTCGCCGGAAAAATGACCGGAAAATGATCAGAGGGGGCACGGGTACAACGTTTTGAACACACAAGGACTTTAGAAATAAGTTTTGAAAACATGAGGGGTATTGCTGTCTATTTTGTAAACCACGGAGGGTACTGACGCTATTTGACCTATTTTTTTCTTCTAATAGTTTCCTTTTTCTCCCACAGTTTTGTTCTTTTCTTTACTAACCAAAATAAATAAATAAATAAATCCACATCATTCTGATGTTTAACTTTTATTCCGTAAAATCATTTGAATCAAACGTGACTTCGAATATTCATAAAATTAAAAAACGACAAATAAAAAAGGCCAGTCACTGGGAACTGACGGAAGTGTCGTCTTGTCGGACGAAGTGATCCCGTCCATTGGTGCGAATATTCAATCATTTTCCATTGCGACACCCAAATGCCCATTTTTATGATGGCTAATCTTGTGTGGACTAAAGATAAACAATAATTTGATGTTAATAGGACAAGAGTTTGTTTTCTTCCATTTATTTGTATTATTTATTACTCCATTTCAAGTAGATTACGTCATACCAAATCAGATTAGAATAAATCAAGTCTGGTGAAGAAAATAAGTTTTAAGTCATCAACTTTACTTTACGTACAACAATTGTACAACATTCCATTTAGAATATTTACGACCGCTCGAAAAATTAGTCGATTCTACCCTCTAAACTCAGTCTGCATCACCCATTCCCCACCCTAATATGTCAAATCGACATTTTTATGATGGGGGCAGGGAGGGGGTGAGGGTGGGTAGGAAAGATTAGGAAGGTAAAAACAATCAATTTTGTGAACGGTGTATCGTAAATATCCTAAATGAAGTGTTGTACAATTACTGTAAAACTTTTTGTTGTAATCTTCATGCTATAATGCTCAAATTTATAGTTAACATGTTTTAAATATAATGCACTTTCAGGCTTTCTCATTACATACAAAGCCAGTCATGTGTCATTATTGAGTTATCCACAAATTAATATATTAAAATTTGAACAAAGTCCAAAAGATAAATCACAACACATATATCAACTGCGGAGTATCACAATGCATTCATATTAGATCTTATATGCATTTTGATCTTATAGAGTCTTCCAACGATATATTATTTTTTAATAACGAACTTGTATATAAAAAGTCATGTACAAATTAGATAGTACGGTGGAATAAATAAATTAAATTAATATAGTAATAGATACTAATAATAATAACACTGACTTTGCCTAATTTAATGCATCATTTGTTTACAATTTTACCCTACAATCAACTTATGCTTTTTATAGTGCAAAAGACATTATTACCTACCAAAAATGTACACATATTAGTTTTGGAAATATATAAATTTTAGATCGGTTGGATGCACTCTATCAAGTGGTGAATATTCATTCTTGTTTCTTTTATCTATATATAGACACACACACTTACATAAATACAAATAAATTGGCGATCCAAGAGGCTGGGATGAAGTCAGGGTGAAACTGATAGGGTTTAGGGGGATTAGGAGGTAGAAACCATCAATTCTACGAATGGAGCACCGTGGGTGTCACAAACCGGGCCATGTTTACATCAACTATTTCTTTTTACTTGTTAGTTATTTTTATTAGAATCAGATCACACTAGATCAGATTAGAAACAACATTAAATATAATTATATTCAGATCAGACAAAATTATTATACCATAACTTATTCCAATCAAAACTATTCAGATCAGGTGAAGAGAACATGATCTCAGTGTCATATTTGTTGGTGTGACATTACAATTTCTCTATCTATCTCTCTCTCCTCATATATATATATATATATATATATATATATATATATATATATATATATATATATATATATATATATATATATTGTGTGTGTGTGTCTAGGACGTAGCAAATCGTCTCATCTCTCTCCCTCTACAGAGTGGAGAGAGCTCAGGTCTTGAAGAAGGGATTAATTAACCATGTTGGGATCCAACACTACTACTACTACTACTACAAGTACGTATGTCTTTTTTTCATATCATGTGTTTTGCACTCAATAGTTTTTGCAGAATTATTGTTTGGCTTATTGACCAAATTGTCACCACATCTTTTCATGATTTTCCTTCAGATCAATATGTTAAGTTAATTATTTATATTAGGGTATTTCTTAATTACAGATGTATTTTTTCTTCGTTTGTCTCTCTAAAAAAATTGAAATCAGACACTTCTAAACAATTCAAACTCTTTTTGTTTAAGACAAAATTCTTAGTTTGACTGAAAAACACTTTTGATGCCAACTTTACACTTTTGAAGTTACAAGATATAACCACAAACAGATTATTATGAAGCAAGAAGCTAAAACATCGTCATATTCTTACTCACTGTGTCCCTAAAAAAATTACCCGTCCCAAATTAAGTTGCATGTTTATTGTTCACATGGTCATACTTCAATTTTTTTGCTTTCTTTCCTCATTTTCCTTACTCATTTGATAAAATAATACGAATTATATTACTGTCACTTCTTGTTTCGTAGAGCTTTTGATACACGGAGTAGTTTATTAAAATGTAACTTTATTTTTTAAGTCCACTCTAATTCTTTAATAAATTGAATTGAAAATAATTTTAGTCAAATATCATAAACCGAAACAAATAATTCAAATTGAGACTGATGGAGTACTACTTATTGTATTTTCATTTTTTACTTGTCCAAAAAAACACCATATTTCTTTTAAAGAAAGAAATATGTGATTCCCAAAATATCTTTCTTTTTAGTTTTCACCTCTTTTTCTTAGTCTTTGAAATTTAAATCAGAAGTGATGATAGTTTTTAGGAAGAGATGAAGTGGTTTTTAATGAGATGAAGTGGTTTATAATGAAAAATTGAGAATGATATTTCCTCCGTTTAGATTTAATCTTTTCATTTGAATTTTCTTGATCAAAGATTGTAAATGTTGGCTTCAATTTACAGAAAAAATATATTATATTTCGAATATAAATGTAAACAATTTCCTTTTGAAACATTTTGAAATATGAACTTTTTAAAAAATACGGAGTATATCTTTGTACAAAAAATGATATTAATGATAAAAATGTTATATTATACAAAATGAAATGAGAAGTTTCTGGGAGAGTATTTTTTAATGTAATCGTAAACCCATATGCATGTATACAAACGTGTCCATACCGAATAGTTTTCCAATTTTGTCCACTAATTTATTTTGAATTAAGAATGATGATTGACAACCCACAATTATTTTACGACTTTGTTGGATTAAATTACTCCAATCTCTTCAAAATTTATTTTCAAATTATTTTCTAAATTAATCATATCTTGGGGATAAAAATATGCCACTCTTAAAAAAGGGAAAAAATGAGGAAGAAAATAACCTTTTTTGTTTGGTTAGAGGGTAAAAAGAAAAGGAAAAGAAGAAAAGAAAAAACGTGAGAAGAAAATACACTAAAATGTAAGAAGAAGCTAAGAAAAAAATAATTTTTCTTCTTCTGGAAGAGGAAAAAGATAAAATAATGCCGTTGCATTATTGAGGAAATGAATTCGATCTTGATAGATATCTAGTGGACCATAATGTGTATAAAAATAAAATCATATTTAATGTTTTTTTACTATAAAACATTTGGAATAATTTGAGTGTCTTAAATGCATACGCCCTACAACGATGGGCCCCTTTCATATCCTCTACATACACACATCACTCACAAAACTTGAGAGAAGAGCTACATAAAGGAATATGCATCTTTGTATTAATAGTTTTTTTTACCTTTTTCCCCCCTAATTTTTACTGCTAAAGAAGGGAGTTTGAAGTCTAGATACTCTTTCAAGTTTAGCAAAAATCTAGAGTTTGGAGATTGTAATAAAAAGAAAAAATCAAGTCTAGATAATTAGAGTTGGGGTCCGGATCCTCTGTCCCTAAACGGTGCCCCAATTTTTTATCCCACCAATCAAAATTTGTCACCTAACTTGCCCCGTCTATGTAATTATGCTCCCCTATTTACCCCTAAGGCGAGTTTGTGTTAAATGAGACGGTGTGGTAGGTTGGGTGTCAAATTTTGATTGGTGGGACAAGAAGTTGGAATGCTATCTGGCGACAGAGGATCCCAGCCCTTAGTGCCTGTCCCTCTAAGCTTAAGACAAGAAAAATCGATACAAAAATCTAGGAAAAATAAAAATGTGTGATTGATGTTGAATATCTAAAAGTAGAGATAATTTCGAACTGCACAAATATGACAAATATGGTATTGGACATCTCAATAAGCATTTTGGAACAGACCAATATAGTAAGATGGATCATGTTGGGAGACAGAAAGTATAATTTAAATATCTAACCTATAATTTTTCTGGATGACATGATTTAACCCATAACTGGTCACAATATTTTTTTTTCATGTTATGGTCTATGATGATGATGATGATGATGATGTCCACGGCAGATTTGAGGTTCTTCGACCACCTAAGAATTCCATGGCCACCTCAAATCCCACCATGTTTGTGGGAGGAAATTGCCATTTTCCTGCAGTTTGGCTTCTTTGGACTCATAATGCTCCACATCCTGAAAAGCTTCCTACCATTACAGCATAAAGCTTCAAAGCAGAAAACAACAGTGACAGGAAAGAGCCAAAAACTTAAACTGGGACTCCCCTACAAGTGCGGCATTGTCTGCTCCGCTCTGTCACTAGCCACTCATCTACTGCTCTTATCAGTTCCAGAGATCAACGGGTTAAAATCTCGCTGCAAGCGCGAATTCTTTTTTCTCTCATCTGAGGTTTTACAAGTAATATCATGGGCAGTCACATTGCTTGTGTTATATAGAACCAGAAAAGATGTGAAGTTACCGTTGATCTTAAGAGTCTGGTGGATTTCCGTCTTCTTGCTGTCTCTGGCACGTGCAGTTGCGACACATGACTGTGTCGATATTGTTGTCTTTATAACATCCTCTTGCTTATTTGGTACTTCAATTCAAGGGAGGACAAAAAATATTCTTGAGACTTCAAAAGGCATCACAGAACCTCTGCTTGATGAAAAAGGTTGTTTGGATGGTAGAAGAGACAGTCTGTACAGTAAAGCAACTCTTCTTCAGTTAGTCACATTCTCGTGGCTCAATCCACTCTTTGAAGTGGGAAAAAAGAAACCGCTTGACAATGATGAAGTTCCCAATGTTGATGCAATGGACTCGGCCAGTTTTTTATCTGGGGCATTTGACGAAAGCCTGAGATATGTAAAGGAAAGTGACGGGACGACAAGCCCATCCATCTATAAGGCTATTTATGTCTTTTCAAGGAAAAAGGCGGCGATCAATGCTTTGTTTGCTGTTATTAGTGCATCAACATCGTATGTGGGGCCATACCTCATTGATGACTTTGTGACCTTTCTCAGTGAGAAGAAACTCAGAGGCTTACGAAGTGGATATCTTCTGGCATTGGGTTTTCTTGGAGCTAAAATGGTTGAGACTGTGGCTCAAAGGCAGTGGATATTCGGGGCTCGTCAGCTTGGCCTTCGGTTAAGGGGAGCACTAATATCCCACATTTACCAAAAGGGTATAGTTCTGTCTAGCCAGTCGCGTCAAAGCCACTCAAGCGGAGAGATCATCAATCTAATGAGTGTTGATGTTCAGAGAATCACAGATTTCATATGGTACCTTAATACAATCTGGATGCTTCCCGTCCAAATAACCTTAGCAATATACATCCTGCATATGAATCTTGGGACGGGCTCATTTGTGGCATTAGCGGCAACCATTATAGTGATGACTGTAAACATACCACTGACTAGGATTCAGAAATGGTACCAAACAAAAATCATGGAATCTAAGGATGAAAGGATGAAATCCACCTCGGAAGTTCTCAAGAACATGAAAACCATCAAGCTTCAGGGATGGGACGATTTCTATCTTCACAAGCTTGAGAGGTTAAGAAACATTGAGCATAACTGGCTCTGGAAATCACTGAGATTATCAGCATTTTCAGCTTTTGTCTTTTGGGGGTCTCCAACGTTCATTTCAGTTTCGACTTTTGTTGGATGTGTTGTGATGGGAATTCCACTCACAGCTGGGAGAGTGTTATCTGCACTTGCTACGTTCCGGATGCTTCAAGATCCTATTTTTAATTTGCCTGATTTGCTCTCTGTGATTGCACAGGGAAGAGTATCTGCTGATAGAATTGCTTCTTACCTGCAAGAAGAAGAGATTCAACACGAGATGGTTGAGTTTGTCCAGAAACACGAAACTGAATTTGGGATTTTGATCAATGATGGAACTTTTAACTGGAATACAGTAGAATCAAGAATCCCAGCACTTGACGGAATAGATTTAGCAGTGAAAAGGGGGATGAAGGTGGCAGTTTGTGGGACCGTTGGATCAGGAAAATCGAGTCTGCTTTCCTGCATCCTTGGAGAAATGGTGAAGTTCTCAGGGGCAGTCAAGATTAGTGGTACAATGGCCTATGTTCCTCAGTCTCCTTGGATACTAACAGGAAATATCAGGGAAAATATTCTTTTCGGAAAATCCTATGAAAGTGACAAGTATGAGCAAACTGTTGAGGCATGTGCCCTCAAAAAAGACTTTGAACTATTTTCTGCCGGTGATCTAACGGAAATTGGAGAAAGGGGGATAAATATGAGTGGGGGGCAGAAGCAGCGGATACAAATTGCCCGTGCTGTTTACCAGGATGCTGACATATATCTGCTTGATGACCCTTTCAGCGCTGTGGATGCCCATACAGGCTCACATCTCTTCAAGGTGCATACTTGAGTTGTTTTAAATTATTTAATACTCCATTGAGTCCATTCATCCTAAAAAACCCGTTAATAAGTTTGAGTATCACTGAATTTAGGAAAAGCTTTGAAAAGTGAAAAAGTGAATTTGTTTAAACGAGAGGGAAATCTTGTACTTCCTCCGTCCCATAAAACTTTTCAAAGACGAAAAAAGGGTGCATCCTAAAAATGTGTAATTTCGATATTATTTTCTAATTTTGACTCATTTATCCCACACATCATATTCTACCTTATTATAAAGGTAAAAATAGAAAATGATCTCAAAATTACACATTTTTTGGACGTGCCTTTTTTCATCTTTGAAAAGTTTAATGAGACGGAAGAAGTAAGCCACATGTTCATTACTAAAAAAGGAAATGAAATGATTCAAATATGGAGAGTTGAGTGGCAACCTTTAAATGAAGGAATATTGAGATGAAATTTTAAAACCCGTCATCATCGTCTCAACATGTATAGAAAATATAAACTGCTAATGAATTGAGATTTTGAAACAGAAAACATAAAAGACGTAGGAGGAAATGTTACCAAACTATCAATAACAGTAGGGATGTTTGGTGACTTAACTTATATTCTGTGAGCATTGCAGGAATGTTTGATGGGTTTCCTCAAGAACAAGACCATACTTTATGTCACCCACCAAGTTGAATTTCTTCCCGCCGCTGATCTCATTCTGGTATTGCATAAAAAACAGTTCATTCAATATTTTGATGCAAGTTTTTAACCGGAGAACGATTCAAATAATAAAGTTTTTTTTTTGAGGCAATGCCAAAAAAATAAAACAACAATGAAAGAAGATATTCTAATATGATTCTCAATAGGTAATGGAAAATGGCAGAATAGCACAAGCCGGCACCTTTGAAGACCTTCTAAATCATAACATTGGATTTGAAGTTCTAGTTGGAGCTCACAACCAAGCTCTAGAGTCAATCTTGACGGTAGAGAACTCAAGCAGACCATCAGAAAATTTGGTCACAAACTGTGATTTTGACACTGATAGTAACATAGATTCAGAATTCCCATACATTAAGCAAGATTCAGAACATAACCTCAGTGTTGAGATAACAGAGAATGATGGAAAACTTGTGCATGATGAAGAAAGAGAAAAAGGAAGCATTGGGAAAGAAGTTTATTTGTCTTACTTGACTCTTGTAAAAGGTGGCGCTTTTGTTCCCATAATCATTCTAGCTCAATTGTCTTTCCAAGTTCTGCAGGTGGCTAGCAACTATTGGATGGCGTGGGCTTGTCCTAGGGGCAATGAAGAGCCATTAACCTCAAAGATGAAGTCCATATTACTTATATATATACTTCTTTCAGTCGGAAGTGCACTTTGTGTGCTACTCCGAGCCACATTATTGGCTACGACAGGGCTTCAGACTGCAGAAAAACTGTTTAGAAACATGTTGCACAGCATTCTTCGTGCACCTATGGCATTCTTTGATTCTACTCCCACTGGAAGAATTTTGAATCGGGTGAGCAATAATAATCTTCTTAGTAACATCAACATCAAGATAATGACATATACTCCCTCCGTCTAAAAAAAAGTCACATTCCATCACGCAACAACTTTTTATTTTAGCAAGGAGCATTTTTATGAACTATCAAGTCTACTTATAAGCATTTGTTTCTAAAATTAATTAAACATACTTTTAAAGTAGTGTGGTTATTTCTTCTATGAACAGGCATCTACAGACCAAAGTGTGCTTGATTTGGAGATGGCAGGCAAGTTAGGGTGGTGTGCTTTTTCAGTGATTCAGCTTCTTGGCACAGTTGCAGTCATGTCACAGGCAGCATGGGAAGTGTTTGTCATCTTCATCCCTGTAACGGCAATCTGTGTCTGGTATCAGGTGAGATACTCAATAATGCTGTGTTTGGAACATGGAAATGGTAAGGAAATGATTAAAAAAATAAGGAAAATAGTGATTTAAGGTTTGCTCATAGATTGGAAAATCCAAAATTATAAAAACTCTTTATAGTTTTACATGTAGTTTGCATTTTTAGTCTTTATATGTTACCATTATTTAAATAAAATTTTACATGAAGATTGATAAAATTTCTTTCATAAAAAGAAATGGTAACAAAGTCACAATTTCAATGGAATAAGATGGTTTAGTTTGTGTTCTAAAAAGAGGTCATTTGCAAACATGTCAGCAATACTACATACCAACTGCAAGAGAATTGGCTCGTTTAGCAGGAATAGAAAGAGCTCCTATTCTTCACCACTTTGCAGAATCACTCTCAGGAGCAGCGACAATTCGTGCATTCGGCCAAAAAAAACGTTTTTTTGATGCTAACCTGTGTCTCATCGACAACCATTCAAGGCCATGGTTTCACAATGTGTCAGCTATGGAATGGCTTTCTTTCAGACTGAATCAGCTTTCTAATTTTGTCTTTGCTTTCTCTCTGGTTTTGCTCGTTACACTTCCTGAAGGATTCATAGACCCAAGTATGCAAATACTCACCTTTTGGTTTGATTGTTTACCCTGCATTGTACACATGACAGACTGAACTGCATTTCATGGCCTAAAAATGTGAACATGTGAAAAGCACAAGTGAGAATATATATATATATATATATATATATATATATATATATATATATATATATATATATATATATATATATATATATATATATATATATGCTTATGTAGAACCTCAACCGCAATCAAATTTCCTAAAACCAATTGGTGTTAGGAAAGACACATACCTTAGCCCTACAATGCATTCAGCAAACATGAGCCCATGATATTCAAAATTTCAAATGTGACTTGACCCACCTAGCCTACACCACCAGATAATTGATGCACATGTCCAACAGCCATACACACACACACACACACAGTAACCAAAGAAAACTACATCAAAGTTGTAACATGTTTATTATAGAAAATGGTCATAAAACTCATCACATGCCAATATGATCTACAGGCATTGCAGGACTGGCAGTAACATATGGCATAAACTTGAATGTGTTGCAAGCGACGGTTATATGGAACATTTGCAATGCAGAAAATAAAATGATATCAGTAGAAAGGATTCTACAGTACTCTAATCTAGCCAGTGAGGCGCCTATGATAATTGAAGATTGCAGACCTCCAAACAACTGGCCAGAAACTGGATCAATTTTATTCAAGAATTTGCAGGTAAAATGAGGGAAAAGTGGGAAATCATTCCCCTGGCCTTCACAAAAATTAAATTTTTAATACCTATAATTTAAAATTACACTTATCCCTTTTTGGCAGATACGCTATGCCGAACATCTCCCTTCTGTGTTGAAGTACATTACCTGCAACTTTCCAGGGAGAAAGAAAATTGGTGTTGTTGGAAGGACTGGAAGTGGAAAATCAACCCTGATTCAGGCCATTTTTAGGATTGTTGAGCCCAGAGAGGGAAGCATTATCATTGATGATGTGGATATATGCAAGATAGGCCTTCATGACTTGAGATCAAGACTTAGCATTATTCCCCAAGATCCGACTCTTTTTGAGGGAACCGTTAGAGGAAACCTGGACCCCATAGAAAAATATTCCGATACTCAAATCTGGGAGGTAATTGTTCAAACATTCCATGGTACCTATTGTCAAATGGGGAAAAAATTCCCCTCGTATTATAAGCAACAATAGAAAAGCATAACCTCACAAGAACTCACAATATTTTTAAAGTGGTTGAAGCACAACTCACTATTTATATTTGAAGTACACATTATAGAATTTTAAATGGACAAATTGTAAAATACTCTGACGAAGTACTTGGAACTTTCAACTAATTCTAAAACACACGTAAATTTGGAGCATTCCCTCAACAACTTACTTACAAAAATTGGTGTGGAGTTATTCCCTCAAACACACAGTTTTCTCTCATTTTCTTTCTCTGACATGAAGAAAAGCACACCCAAAGATTGAAAATCTCATATCCTTTTATAGCCAAATTATTGTCTTAAAATGTGCACAAAATTCTTTGTCATTCTAGAGTAATATTGGAAGCACCCTGGTGCTATGTGCTAACATCCTATTAATTAAATAGTGAGCATAGCATGTTAGTCAGTGAGCATAGACATTCTAATAATGAACATAGCATGTCAGTCAGTGAGCAAAGACACCAAGTTGTTAACACCCATGCGGTTCCTAATATTCTTTTGTCATTCTAAATCGCAACAAAGTTTATTTTGGCTTCTTTCATATGCAGCAAATTTTGACAATCATTTGCACATACTTTTTCCATTTCTCTGTTAGTCATTAAGATTAGGAATGTGAGACTTTGTTTGCATCCAACAAAAACAGACACATACATGCTTATTGCTTCTACTTACAACGTTTGCAGAATCAGATGAAAACACTGCCGCTCTTATGCTCTGAACGTAATTAATGGGATTTAATGCAAATAAAAACTTGGCATATATGTGTGGGTGAAACTAATTGGTCATGGTCCTAAATGCCTGCAATTTTTGTGCCACATTTGCATAACATATTTCAACAAGTAGTTCCAGTAATCATGTATCTTAAATAATGCAGGCTTTGGACAAATGTCAACTAGGTGACATCATTCGGGAAAAGACTGAAAAGCTGGAATCTACAGGTTTGGCTTCATGAATCCTGATGCCGCCGCCACTAGTGGAAGGCAAACAAATGCTAAAAAAAGTGATATTACTATGTTTGGTTTACCTTCGAGATTGCAAATAACAATGAATATGATTCACCTTTTTCTAAAAGTTGACATTTTTTTAATTTCAGTCTTTATATAGTAGTAATAGATAAACAAACCAAATAAATACTAATATCTAAATCATTTTTTTTGCTTGTTGAAATTGGCTATTGGCATGGACTCTGACAGTGGTTGAAAATGGAGAGAATTGGAGTGTGGGACAAAGGCAACTTCTCTGTCTAGGAAGAGCCTTGTTGAAGAAGAGCAGCATCCTAGTTCTGGATGAAGCAACGGCATCGGTTGATGCTGCGACCGATGCATTGATCCAGAAAGTTATCAGTCAAGAGTTCAGAGATCGGACAGTGGTCACTATAGCCCACAGGATCCACACGGTCATCGATAGTGACCTTGTCCTGGTCCTAAGTGAAGGTAAAACTGAAGGCTCCCTATACCCACATAATAAAGAGTGAAAGAATTTAAGATTCTTAGGGGTCACAAATCAACCGGGTCATTTGCTCAAACCATGCTAAAAGATTGTTGGTTAGTTAGTTCAACTCATATCTATCGGATTAACCCATCATTGTTTTCCTTCAACAGGTAGAGTAGCAGAGTTTGACTCACCAGCAAAGCTATTGGAAAGGGAAGACTCTTTCTTCTCAAAGCTGATAAAGGAGTACTCCATAAGATCGAAAACTTTAACAACTCAGCCATGTTAGGAAGTCTGGTTCGAATTTGCATCAAATAAAGTAGTGTACATTGTTGTGCTGCTGTGCGACCTCGAGGTCACGAGTTCAATTTCTCGGAGAATGTATATCCTTTAATATCAACTCAACAATCCAAATATGTTGTGTCCATAACATTCAAACACTATGAACCAAATGATGCCCTTATAAGTTCAGTGGCATTGAATCAGAATAAAATTGAGCCCTCAAGCACATATGCAGGGTGGGTGGCCAAATTAGTATTCCTATTTTACAGATTCAACTTTCTCTTTTTAGATATAATTCTCCGAGAGGATATTATTCTAATGAGGCAATGGTTTGTTTCACATCATCTCTTTTTCTTCAACATCGAATTCAACAAAGGAACAGTAACTTAATCGGAATGAAACTGCATTTCGAGCAAGGGTAAATATACCTTCCTCTGTAATAATCCGGATGTTCCTTGATCATTTTCCACGGCTGAAATCACTGTCGGAAGGAAACGCCGGCGAGTTCCTTCTCTTTGCCGGTAGAGGAGATCTCTGTACATGGGTTGGGCTTGTAGCTTAATTAACTTCCAACTCCTTTTTAATTGGACTTTCAATAGGACCCAGATACTTATTCTATTGGATATTTGATGAGATTATTTAAAATAATCCGATAATAATGACACTAGGAGATAACATCATATTATCTTACATGTCATCTATACATCTATATATTATTTAAAAAGACATGAATTTTTTCCCGCCCATGTATAACACTCATATATGGAAAGTGTTGACAACATAAATGGTAGTTTAATTATTTTATCTTAATGTTTTCCTTCCATTTTAAGTATGTTTTCATTTTTATTTTTATTTAAATGTTACACAATTTAAGAAATTAAATTAAATAGTAGTGAACCATTAGGGAATTGAAGTATGGAAATAAAATACACTGCCATTTAAATATTAAAATAAAATTTAAAAATTACAAATTAATAAAGTATGGGCAGGATTAAAATGATTTATTTCAAACAAACTACAAATTAATTATTTATCATTAAAAAATATTATAATTTACAAGCACAAATGCGTAAAAATGGTAAGTTTTCTAAAATAGATTAGAAAACAAATATGGTACAGTAAGTAGATGATAACATTTAAATAAAAGAATAAAATAAAAAACTACAAATTAATATTAATACTATAATTTAAAAGAATGGAAACGTTTTAAAAATGACAAATGTTCTAATTAGAAAATAAATAGATATGGTATGGTAAGCAATTAGCACCATTTAAAAACGAAAATAAAATAAATGGTAAGTTTTTTAAAAGAAATTAGGTCAGTGTTCTAAAATAAAAGAGAAAATAAAATACTCCATCCGTCCCCAATTTGATTACAAATTGCGGGTTACGGAGTAAAATTTCTTACTTTTTGAAATAATTTTATTTACAAATTGATATATGAATAAGATATAAAAATTACATATTAAACAACTACGTCAAAAGTTTTACAAAACAATAAGTGATAAGATTATTTTATTTTATCAAATACTTAATGAAATCGCGTAAACAAACAAAAGTTATCGAGAGGAGAGAAAAAAATTGTAATCTATTTAGGGACAGATAGTACATCTAAAAATGATAAGTGTTCTAAAATTAATTAGAAAGTAATGTGGTTTGGTAAGTAATTAGTATGATTTAAATACGGAAATAAAAAAACTGTAAAATTAATATTAATACTATACTTTAAAAACATGATTTTTTTTAAAAAGGTAAGTGTTCAAATTAGAAAATTAGAAAATAAATACGAAATGGTATGTCACCACGATAAGCAAATAGTACCATTTAAACACAAAATAAAATAAATGGTAAGTGTTCTAAAATAAATTAGGTAAGTGTTCTAAATAAATTAGAAAATAAAATAATTATTAAAACGATAAGTATTCTAAAATATATTAGAAAATAAATACGGTACAGTAATTAAATGATACCATTTAAATAAAAAATAAAATAGAAAACTAAAAAATAATACTATCAATTAATACTACAATTTACAAGCATGGTAACGTATAAAAATGGTAAGTGTTATAAAATAAATTAAAAAATAAATGTGGTACATTAAGCAAACGGTACCATTTAAATGCAAAAATTAAAAAATTATAAATTAATACTGTTAATATTGTAAGCATGGAAACATGTAACAATGGTATAAGTATTCTAAAATAAATACTATGAATAATATAATTTACAAGCATGGATACGTGTAAAAATGGTAAGTGATCTAAAATAAAATTGAAAATAAATGTCATAGGGTAAGTTAATAGTACCACTTAAATACAAAAATAAAATTAAAAAATACAAATTCCAAAATAAATACATTAAAATGTTGAATTATTATTACTTAGATAAGTCAAATTATTGAATTATTATAAAAAACAATATCTGAAACATTTTGAATTATTGTTACGGAAACTGGTATTTAGTCATGAGAAAGTGTATGTTGCAGTTTAAAGAGTAACTAGTATCACACCCGTGCGTTGCACGGGTCATATTTATGTTATTAAATTCAAATCATTTTTCAATGATAATAAATGAGATACAATAGAATATAGAAATTATATTATTTTAAGGTAAAAAATATCACTGGTTTACATATTTCGAAATACTTCTTTATAGACTACATTATTTATACAATTTGTGGGAATATTGTTCTCATTGCATATCAGAATCTTCAAGCCACTACGATTAGTTACTCTTGAAACTACAATATAGAGTTGTCCATGACTAACCACAGGTTTCCGTAACAATATTCCAACATGTTTCAAAGATTGCCCCTGACGATGTTGAAGCACCGAATAAAAACACACCTTGAATAATCTTACTACCTTGGCCTAGAAAAGGACCGTATTTATATTATACTCCCTCCGTTTGGAAAAACACTTCCCATTTGGATTTGGGGCAAAAATAAGGAAGTGTTAAATTATAGTTGATTTCCAATTTTGCCCTGATGTGATGGGTAAAAGTAAGATGTGATGGATAGATTATTAGAGAAAAAGTATGATGTGATAGGTAGGGTATGAAAAAGTAAGGGTAAAAGTGGTTTTTTAATAGAAAAGAAAAGTGTTTTGTTGGAAGTGGAAAAAAATGAAAGATGAAGTGTTTTTGAGAACGGAGGGAATATAATTCTAATAGGCTAATTTTAGTAAGAAGGGTTAACTTTTTTCGAATCTGGGTGTGTAATTATTCTTACCGTAATTATTTTTTCGAAAGTGGGTGTATAATTATTCTTACCATAATTATATTATATTATAATCATTGATTCCAATTTCTAATTTCCTAGCCACACGGTTATACATAATTAATTAATTTCAATTTCCAATTTCAAATCGTAGATTCCAATTTTAATAAAAATTTACGCGTTCTAGTTTTATAACTTACCTAGTCACACGGTTATACAATCAATACGTTAGTTAATTATACCTTTTTTGAATTATTTCCAATTTTAATAACATAATAATAATAACGCTTTTAAACATATTATGGACTTTTGGTTTTTTGATTTTTGAATATTACTTTTTTTTTAATTATTTCCAATTTCAAATTGTTGATACCAATTTTAATAAAAATTTATGCTTTCCAATAAAGTAACTTACCTTTTTTGCTAGTATAATTTCGGACACTTTAAAAATGACAATTAATTATTCTTACCACAATTTCGGATGCTTTCCAATCAGTACTCATAATAACGTTGGTTAATTATTACCGTATAATACATTGTATCCATTTTTATTAAAAACTTACGTTTTGCAATTTTATAACTTACCTTTTTTAATTATTTCCAATTTCAATACGTTCATTTCAATTTTAATAAAGTAAAATTGTATTAACTTCAATACGTTAATTATTATAAAAATAATAATTATATTAACTTCACGCTTACCATTTTATATTGATATAATTTTGGACACTTACCATTTAATTTCACAATTGCCATATGCAACGGCCATACTTCGTGCACGGGTTAAAAATGGACACTATAACTTCGGACACTTACCATTTATCTAGGTAATAATTAAACGGAGTAATAACTATTACATTTTTTGGTTATTACCAATTTATATTACTCACGTTAATTGTTACAAAAATAATAGCTATATTAACTTCACGCTTATACAAAAAAAGGTTAAAACTGACAGTTACTTATTCTTGCAAAAATTTCGGACATTTCCACCAAAGAATTAACGTTGGTTACATACCATTTTAAAACCATTTCGGACATGTTACTTTCATTACTTACCATTAGATCTAAGTACCAGTATAATATTATTTACCATTTTGTTGGTTACTTACCAAACAAAAACTTTAATATAAATTCGGTCACTTACCATTTTAACTTCATAATTGCCATTTGTAATTGTCACCTCTTTGGGCGGGAAAACTATGTGTTGACTTCATGTCTTTTTAAATAGAGTATGGATAAATCGCAATGGCTTGAAGATTCTGATATACAACGAAGTGAATGCTCACACAAATTATACATACGAGTGATGTAGTTTATAAAGAAGTCTTTCGAAATTTGTAAATCATTTTACTTTTGTACTTTAAAATAATGAAATCTCTATATTCCATTATATACCAATTTATATTCCTAAAAATGATCTTAAGTTAGTACCGTAAGTATGACCCGTGCAACGCACGGGTGTGATACTAGTTTTCTTTAAAATAACTCTATTATAATATAACATAGGTTCATACATTCTCAACCCATTAAGTACGAAGAGTTATTACTTTCACTGGAGATCAAATTTATTTCATATCTGAGATAGTCATTATCATGCCGATGGACTATAAAGTTTTTGGCTTGTACCGACCAAATTGAAGTTCATATAGTTGTATTAATCAATTTTATAAATGAAGTATCGTAGTTGCTCAATGTCGTGATATTATTTTGTAATTTCAAATTAACTGGCTTGTATTTAAAAACATTTCTATCCATTATATTCAAGACTCTATATCTATTTGTACTCTTATTTATTACTCTTAGGATTTCAGTCTAAGATGTAGTGTTTACATGATATTAAATTCATCTTGTTTTCCAGGAATTTCAAAATCTATTAACCTTAGGGTTCTAGTGACACTTCTCCTTGGTGTCATTCTATGCCATTCATAGGCTCACATTGCTCCATCATTATTAGACAGTTAGACCACCAAAATAAATGTTGTTTCAAACTTTTCCGCCTCTGAGGCCCATCTTTGTCGTTGTTGAACAAGATATGAATCCTAATTCAATTAAACTTCCATTTCAATTGTTCTTTTTTAAACTTTGATTTCGCACAAGGTATGAACATGGTATAGTATAGGCCTATAGGATGACATTAACGAGGAGTATCACTACAATCCTACCTAATTATCGAATAAGCAATACTATTTTTTTAATTTTTAAAATTTTCCTCTCATATTCTTCTAAAAAAACGTATGATTTTTTTTAAACTACGAGAAATTATTGATTATACTTCAATGTTAATACCTTCTTGATTAAATAATGAGTATTAAGTAGTTAGGGTTGCATAAAAATCAAATATGTTTGATTTGATTTGTAGG